CAAAGACTCTTCCCAACCAAAGGCACTTGTGGTTTGGCCAGGGCAGGGAAGGGAGAAGAGGCCTCAGGACTTTTCTCAGGCAGAGGGGAGGCTCTAGGATCACTGCCTTGCTGTCCTAGTGAAGCTCAATTAGAAGTGTGGGAAAATACCAGCTTGGAGAACACAAGGTAGAGGTTTCTTGGGAATAGGCTTTGAAGTTTGGGTTTTTAAAATTTTTTAAAATTTTATTTTATTATTTTTGTGTGCATGTACCATCAAATCAGATCTGACTTGTACAGGAGGAGATTGTCCCTCCTTCCCCGGCAGAGCATCTGGTGGATTTGAACCGTTCGCGCCTCTGGGATTGTAGTTGCAGCTCCTTGCCACTAGGCCACCAGAGCTCCCCTTGAAGTTTGGTTGTTTTTTTTTTTAAGTTTGGTTTTTAAGACAAAAACAGATCGAAACTGCTTCTTGCTTGAGCATGAGCTGAAGTCGTTAACCTGATGTAGAGCCTCACATGGTGTTTCTGTCCACTAGGATCCATCAGGAGGGTGAGGAGTGTGGACAGTAGGTCGCACAGTCCACCTCACACTCGGGGGCGACGCTTGCTAAGCAGTAGGCTCTGTGGACTTGGCACCCCTTGTTATCTGTTCCTGTTGCTAACTCTAAGTCAAATATACCTGCGATAAGATTACATATTATAACCCCAATTCCTTTTGTGTCTCTGTGGATTTGAGTATGCCTTGAATGCTTGGTTAAGATGCTCCTTAGACAGGCCTCACCATCTTTCCCCCATGTTTCAGCCATTTCTCACCAAGGCAGGATTTGGGGCCTGCAGCTTCAGTAAATTCACATCCTCTGTGAATTTACAGTATAATGTGTCCTTGAAGGTCCCAGATTTCCCATTCCCTCTCTCCCTCCCTCAAGGAGAACTCAGAATAGAATTTTGCCATTAAACAACAATTAGGATTCTTTTCCAGGTTCCAGGAGAGAGTCTTGTCGCCACGTTGAACTTGTCCAACCAAGGCCAGATGAATAGTAGACAGACTGTTTTGAAAACAGCCCGCAATGGACCCTGTCTCCCAGCATTCATTCACACCTTGGTATGATCCCTTTCCTTGTACCTGCAGATTTAATGGTTTACACCTAATTAATAAAAAAACCAAAGCCGCTGACACAGGCCAACTCCTGCAGATTCTCCATCAGGTTTCTTTTTTAAAAAAATTATTATTAATTTCAATGAAAATTTAGAGAGACTTTGGATTTCCATTCATTCACCATTGCACTTTTCTCCCCTCCCAACACTTCTCCCCAGTACATTACCCTCTTGGAAAAGTAAAAGAAAAATTCTTTTATTGTTTTACAATCCCTCCCCCCAGGTCCACGCCACTATGCAGCCTTTGCTCTGGACTCTTGTCATGACAAAAATACCCAGTAACATATCCCTTTTAAACAGTTTTCTCCCTCATCTGTTTCAGTGCAGTATACATTATTAAACCCATCTTTCTCAGTCTCCCCCCAACCTCAATGTCAGTCCTGTTTTACAACAGTGGCACCATGCAGTATTTATCCTTTTGTGACTGAGATACTTCACTCACCATAATGTCCTCCAGGGTCACCCATTTTGAATAGTATTGTATGAGTTCCTTGTTTTTCAATGCAGTATAGTATTCCATTGTGTGAATATACCACAGCTTCTCTATCCATTTGTTTGCTGATGGGCACTTAGGTTGTTTCCAACTTCTTGCTATTGTGAACAAAGCCGTAATAAACGTGGGTGTGCATGTATCTGCTTGGATGTCAGTTATGGTCTCTTTGGGTATATTCCCAGTGGTGGAATTGCTGGGTCAAATGGTATCTCTATTTGCAACTTTTTGAGAGAGCGCCATACTGCCTCCCACAGTGGTTGCACCATTTTACACTCCCACCAACAGTGAATAAGGGTTCCAGTTTCTCCACAACCTCGCCAGCATTTGTTGCTTGCTGTTCTGTTAAATTTTGCTATTCTGACTGGGGTGAGATGGTATCTCATAGTTGTTTTGATCCATCAGGTTTCTGAGGGTGTGTCTTCTCTTTTCCAGCAGGCTGGCTTGTGGATCTGAACTTCCTGCCTTAAAGTTAGCAGCCTACCACGTAGTGCACTACACCACCAGGACTCCTTCTAATTGATGGATCACAATAAAAGTGGGAGATGCTTCTTCCAATGTTAGCTCACAGAAGACTGTGCCTTCCGAGTCTTCACTTTCTGCCTCTCCCCGTCAGCTTGTTCTGATGAAGCCAGCTGCCATACTGTGACCTGCCCTGTGAAGAGGCCTACGTGACGGAAGCTGAGGCTCAAGCTCCAACAACTCAGCAGGAATCGACTTCCGAGGCAGCCTGGGTGAGCTCGGAAGTAAGGCCAGCCCCACGCCGCCTGCAGGCGGCTGCAGCCCACGAGCCCCTCCTGCACAGGACACAGCCTGATTCCTGACAGGAACCTTGAGATCCCAGTGTCGTTTTAGGACATGCAGTGTTGGTGTCATTTGTTAGCGACAGTCACACTCACTTGCTTATTGTGGTCACGTCATTCCCAGCCTGTCTCTGGGTTTCCACAACTGTAAATCTTATTGGGCGGAGCAGGGATGGTCCATGTTTCTCCCATGGTGAATTTGAACCGCCAAAGAGCATGGCCTTCTGGTTCATGGCACAGTACACTGTGGACTAGAGCCCCTTTCCATACCGATGTTGTTGTTGTGTGCTGTTGAGTCAGGACTGAGCCACAGCAGACCCTGTGACGGGGCTGCAGAGGCGGGCAGGTGCACGGCAGACTGGCCATCCTTCTCTGACAGAGGACTGCATTGCACGAGTTTTGTGCAAGACAAAGAGTTCTGAAAAACCAAACGTAAAGGGAGCCGACGGTATCAACTGGCTATTTTAAGAAAAAGGCTGGGCAGAAATCAAGAATTTCTTAGAGGTGAGTCAAATCTGGGTTCAGGTCCTAGCTATGATCCCATGTAAACCATCTTTGGGCCTCAGTTTCCTCACTTCAAAAATGAGTTCTTTCTTAGGGTCGTTGTGCAGAGCAGGGGTGATACCATGCATGGGGACACAGCCATTTAGGTGTGAGGGTACAGTGCCCCTCCTGACCCAGCCCCACACGCAGGCCAGCTGGAACTCAGCAGTGGGGCTGGTGTGGCGGGGTCTTCACCTGGAGCAGGTGAAGGGCCTGCCCTTCCTGGCGGGAACCACCGGGACACCTCTGGCAATGTGGCAAACAAACATGGGTGCATCATTATCTTCTTTTAAGCACATTAATGCCAAATGTTATGATGCTTATGGTCCTAGACTTTCAAAAAGAAGACAGTATCAGAATGGAATAGGCCATCATGAAGCACTTTGGGGGGGGGGTGAGTGTGTAGAAATAAGCCCTTGAGAGAAGTTTTCATGACAAAGCTTCAACAGTTGTTTCAGAGTTCAGAATTTCAGAATTTGCCTTATAAGGGAAATGATGTTACTCCTCTGTAATGACATGAAGCATGAATAATGCCAGTCTTGCATTTTTTGTTACATACCAGAAGTAATTAGACCAGTAACGCAGCCCCTAGTTCACTCAAGGAAGACTTTTGAAATAAACTTGGGTTTATTAAGCCTATTGCAAACCTCATAGCATCCTGGTGGTGCACTAGTTAAAAGCACTATTGGTGACTTGAACCCACTAGCTGCTCTGTGGGAGAACGGCATGGCACATTTGTTTCTGTAAAGATTTATGGCCTTGGAATCCCTATGGGGCAGTTCTCCTCAGTCCTACAGCGCTGTGAGGGTGGAACCAATTTGATGGCTGTGGGTCATGTTTGGTTCTGGGTTGCAGGACTCAACCAGTGGGGAAGGTTTCCAAAATAATTTAATCTGGGAAATGAGACTGTAACAGGGGTCCATGAATTTACTTCTTGCTCAACAGTAAGGTCAATTTTCCTTTCTTAGAAGACATAAAGGGCACAGTATTTACGTTAAGCCTGGGCCATGAGTACAGAGCAGGGAGATAAAAAACCAGTAGCCGTTTCAAATTAACAGCTGAGATCCAGGAGCTGGACAACTGTAAAGGTTTCCTCCATGTCTCTGATCTGGGGCAAGTCACTGTATCTGCTGCCACAATCCCCACAGTCATCTGAGCTGTGCAGGGATGGAAACCAGCTCTCCTCACCCCCAAATGTTTGGGTCATGACTGAACCCCAGAGCTAGGCCTAGACAGGATGGCCCAGGGAGACAGAACTGCTTCACATGTTGTATTCTAATTAGATACTTTGGGTTTCTCTTAAACTCAAAAGAAGGTAGGAGGCGTGGGTGCCCACACTGCCTGAAACCACCTACTAGGGCTGCGTGACTCCTTCTGAAGACATCTCTCTGCAGGCAGTCCTTGCATGGCTTAATTTTTCTAGACTGAACCACATCAGATTTATGCCAGGGAAGAGCAAACACTGTTTGTAAGTCATTTAATTGCGTTAGTGTCTCTCAACTTTATCAGATGCTGCTGAGGCAGCGAGTTGTGTGTGTGGTCCTGTGGGATGCTGTGCAGAGCTCCCGGCTCATCCACAATGCCCAAAGCGCAGGGGCCCTCACGCTGCTGCTCCAAATGCCTAATCAACTACTCTTTAACAGGTTCAAATGGCATTTGTCTCAATCCAGGTCCTTGCTGAAGGCTGCACAGTCAACAAGCACCCAACCTTGACTGCAGAACCATTAACCACAAACGCTGAGATGCAAACCTCGTTTATTTATTTTATTCTTTGGATAAATATCATTTATACACCCTTTCAGAGCAATACAAGAACAAAGATACTGATATCTGCTAGAAAGACAGAAAACATGTCACAGCAAAGACTGAATATACATTGTCTACACTGTTATAAACTCTTATAATTAGGTCAGACTTAGAAAAAGGTGGGGCTTTTTGTTGTGGTTGTTCTGAAAAACAGACTCCCCTGGACCCACCACCACCACTGTCCTGGGAGCTTGGCTGTGTGGCGTAGGCGCTGGGCAGAGGGTCAGCTCATCATGTCCAGGCTGCCTCCTGGGTCGGAACTGCTGTCACACCGCAGGGCCTCTGCCACTTCTCTTCTGAAGACTGACAAGTTCTGGGTAAACCTATGGAAAGAGGTGATAAGGCTGAACTGCTCCAACATGTGATGTGCGAAAGCCGCTGTGGAGTTCAGGACCTTGGAGAGCGCTGCACCTGAGGAGGGCAGAGTGGTTTCCTTCCAGCTCCACAGTCAGCACCACTAGGCTCCCAGCAACCCTCCCCTGCTGCCTCCCCTCATAGCATAGAAGGACCACTGCTACTCCTACTCCGACCATGTCAAGGACGTGTTTCCACAATTTCATTTTATTTATAGCCAAATTACAAAAGGATAGTCAAGAATACAAAGAAAAGGGTCAAAGTTTATGTGTAAGGGATTGCATGGACTTTATGTTTTATAGGGAACTTTACTCCTTCCAGCTCTTTCCAGCGGAAGGGTCTGTATCCCCATTTCACAGAGGAAAGGGAAGTAGTGGTTCATAAGAGGGGTACTACGATCAGACTATTTGGGTTCAAACCCTGACTTGATTTATTAGCTGGCTGGTCTTAGATGAGTTACTTCACTAATCTCATGCTGAAGAGAATAGCTGCCACATAGTATTCATTGTCAGCCTCACCAAGTCAGTGTCTGGGAAGGCTCAGCACAGAGCCTGGCACATGGAGGGCATTCACCACGCCTGTTCTCCTGCCAGGGGGCGGCGTGACGCTCATTTCACAGAAGGGCTCCGGCAGGGGCACTCAAATTGTCAAGTTACAGGTGAAGCAATTTCCCTAATATGGAAATGAGGCCTCTAGGTTTGCCCTTCTTTGCCTGATCCTGGTGTGACATGAGCAGACGGGGCATGTGTCTGTAGGGTCCACGTGGCTCGTTGTCACTCCTTCAGACACTGTCATCTTTTTTTTCCCACTTAAATAAAAATTTTATTTTATACTGGTTTTCCTTACAAGGTTTGTTTACATTGTTTTTCACACTGGATCTTTCCATTTCCTTTACTTCCACCCATCAAACTGTGAGACCTTATGATTAACCATTCCCCCTTGCCCTACTCCCCCCTAGATCCTCATATACATTCTACAATAATGGTTCTATACAATGTTTGCCAGACATTGCCTTTAAGGCTGAGTTGTGAGGTGCATTGCAAATGGTGTAGTATTTGAATGCTACCACTCTTATAAAAAGAATGGTATGGATGGTTTTCTTCCTGGACATATTTTCCATCCATTATTGTCTGTTTTCTCCACTGGCGTGTAAGCTTCATGAGGGCAGAAACCTAGAGCGTTTAGTATACAACTGGTATCCCTAGTACCTGGAACAGAGTGGAATCTCAGTAAAGGCTTGCAAACTGAATGATGAAGAAATGAATTAGCTGTACATTCAGCTTCCTCTCATTTACATCTTAGTCTAGTCACTTAAAGAAAAGCAGAGGAAGAAACTAACATTCATTGTGGGCCTATGTCCCAGGTTCCATGCTTTGCTATTTGGTGACTGACGCATCAAAACCTAGTACTATCTCCTTTTTACTGTGATGACAGAGGATTAGAGTGATGAACAGCCTTACTCACTGGCTCTTAGCCTACAAGGGCAGAACTCTCTGACCTCAAAGCCTGGGCCACTTTCCTTGTTCTCTGCAGTGTTTCTGAGCTTTTCTTCTGCCCTTTTAAAATACAGTTCTTTGTCATCTCTCTCTTGCTAGCGTAAAAGCTGCTTAAGGACAGAGATTGGATATTTTTAATCTCTGCTTCCAAGTACAGTGTCTAGTGTGATGCACAGAACAAAGCAAACACCCAGGACTGCTTACCAGATGGAACGGGATTGAGTTCAGGATCACAAAGGGTAACAGAAAAGCAATGTCCATGTGTGAGTGATGTTAAGTCCAACCTAGTTATTGTCCATAGACCTGAATGCCCACCTTCCAGAGATGCTGGGCCTCTTTCCAAAAGTGCAGAGAGGGGAGCAGTGCCCCAGAGAGGCCTCTAGGTCCTGGCTGGCCTTGTTGGGTGGGTTGGGGAAGGAAGTGGAGATTAGCTCGCTGGCCTCACCTGCTCCCTTCTTGGTTTTGTGCCTGCCTCAACACCCAAAATGCCTCTGCCTCTTGGGAAGTCTCACCTGTCTCTGTTCTTGACAGACAGGCTCTGCTCCACTCCTTCCATCAGGTTTCTGAAGCACTGGGCCAGGGTGTTCCGCTTGGGGAGGGGCTGGCTGTTTATCAGACTCGCCTGCAGTTCGCGGAAATACTGTGGGGAGAGGGAAGGAGCATCAGAACTCTGACCCCAGGCCTGCCCTGGAGGGGGCGCAGGGTGAGGCTGGGCGGGGAGGACCAGTTCTGCCCTGCTCTGGACTCATTCATTCCTAGAAGAGTTTTTGAATGTTCAGCCCTTAGAGAAAACCAAAGCTACAGAGCCACTCCTAGGTGTGAACTGGGATACATCCTTCCATAGAAATCTCCAGCTTTGATCACCCCATGGTCACTGCTTTTGTTGGTGAAGTCCTTCCCTCTTCTCTGTGGTTCTGATGGTTAATGTTCTGCCTGACTCTCCTCTCCACTCCTCACAGAAAGGCTGAAATCAGCAGTTGATGGAAAATGCTCCGGGAACGGTTTGGGTAGCGGGAGTCCAGGCAGAGGGCCCTCTTCAATGGCTTCCGAGAATCCTCTGCAAACCATGCTGGCCGTCCTTGTGGCTCTGGATGGGTCAGTCTGCTTAGCTGTGGACTAGCATGGCTTGTTTAGTTGTGGGAACAATTCATGGCACTAAGAATGATATGTCACACTTGCTCACAGATAACTGCACAGCTACTTCTACTCTGCTGGGTCTGGGAGCTTTTCTGCAATCAGGAGTGCTTACGTTTAACCCGGCTCCTAATCACTGGAAACAGCCTAATTTCAACACAAAGACAACATGTGGCAGTCATGTGTTCATTCTTCCAGGCCCAAACAGAATGATATTTAATTTCCATCATACACTAAAACGGCTCACATCAAAAACACACATAATTAATATGTAGTCAGACTAATACTTAACTACTATATATCAGAAGCATTACACTTAAAGCACAGTGTCTTCCTGAACAAGATTGGGATTGCACAAAATGACTTATTTTTCCTTTATAATGATGCAGTGACTCACACCAAATAGAAAATTATTAGTTTTTCATCTCAAACCATGAAATATTGCCTCCATCAGTAAAGTATAATATTGTGATGTCATAAGCTTTTTCTAAACACTGAATTTGCCCTTATTCCCTCTCAATCATTTTAAAAGAACTGCTCTCTTTTATAGAGCTTGGATTTAAATCACAATAACACCGAGGGAAGATGAATGACAGTGCTATTGAATGTGGCTAAAATTGGATACTTCAGCACAGGTGAATGATGAGACAGCTCTTCTCTTTTTGATATATTTTCTTCTTCTATTAGTTTCCTTCCAAGGCTGGGATTTCAGTTTGAATTTTAATGTATGCGGCTGCCTCTAATCTCACCGTCTTTCTCCCCAGTACTATCTTATTGTATAGACAATTCATTCTCCAAAGCAGTAATGCACTGTTCCTACTGACTGCTGGGGAGGTGGGGTGGGTTCAAGAAGAAGCTAGAGAGGCCGAGGGTGATGCGTGCATGTGAGAAGCCGCAGACAGTGCACCCTGGATAAACGTGCTGGTTCTGGGGAGAACCCCTGAGGGGCTACTGCCTCCATCAGGGACAGTGGGAAGCCCAGGTATAAAAGGCCAGAGAAGAGGCTCAGAATGGAAATGCTTAGAATTCTCCAGGAATGAGGGGAGAGGAGTGAGGGCAGCATCAAAATGCTGAGGAAAACACGCCCACCCAGAAGAGCTACTCATGAAGCTTCTACTTAATGGAAGGTCTGTGGCCTCTGAGGAAGGGAATATGCTCTTGCCCTGAGAGGTCACAGTTTGAGCCAAGCTCAGCTGGCCCCGCCCTTCTGTCCCCAGCCTCACAGCTCAGCCTGGCACATGGGCTCTTTACAGTTCTGTCCCTCCTCCTGGTGGCTACAGCCTGTGACCTTCCTGTCCTCACACTCACCTTCTCGTTGAGCAGGATGAGTCCCAGGAGAGGCCTGGATATGGACCACTGGTTCCGACAGTCTTCAAAGACGATGGTGTTCATGAGGACAGACATCATCTAGAAGACAGAGCCACAGGAACACACTGAGGCCTTCATGACCTCACCTTCTACCCCTGCATCTTGCTAAGGACTGGGAAAGCTCTTCCCGGACAAACAGTCCAGACAGACCGCCCATGGTCCTCCTTGTAGGGACCCCTGGAAGCTCAGGAAAGAGAGGTCACAACAAAAAACCTTTGCAGGGAACTTTCAGGGGGTAGAGGGTGGAAATCAGAGGCCAGAGGGCCAAGGGGCCAAATCTCAGTTGTGATGTATTTTCCTCTTTGCTGGGTCATCAGGCACGGCCCCTTGTCATTTCACCCCCAACAATCACTACGGCGGTGTGGCTCTCTAAGGTCTTTCTCTTCAAAGAGGACAGAGCAGGCCACGTTCCATATGACCTTGGCCATGCTTCTTGCTGGCTTAGGCTGACAAAGGCTTATCACTCATTCATCATTTATTAATTCATTCACTCTTACATGCAGATAGTCATCCATTCTCTTAACTTCAAAGTCTTAAGCCACTTAGGGGAGGCAAGAGAACACAGCATCTACCACTCCATCTCTGCCTTGAGGAGCTGGAAGCCTCTTAATAGATGGCAGGAAATAGGGCTGGGCACAGTGTGGTCACACAGCAGGGCAGAGATGCCTTTGGGCCCTGGAGGAGCAGCCAGGGTGGATTCCACAGAGATGATACTTAATGAGCTCATCATGGGTGCACTCTGAGCAGATAAAGAGCAAGAAAGGCTGAGAGTGACCACTGTGGGTTCAGCAGTGGTAAGGAAGTGAGTGTGGCAGAAAAGCGGCCAGGAGGAGACCTCACTACCAGTCTAGAAGGTCGTGCCGAGAAATCCGTCTCCTCTGATGGCCACAGAGGCAGGCCATTGTAGGGTCTGCTGTAGAGGTGAGACATGAGCTCATTTTTATTTCTAAAAGATCCCCTTGGGGACATGTAAAACGTGAGCTGCTTAGGTGACACTGAAGGGGGTCGTTAGGGAGAACACAAGTATCTGGGAAGCAGGCTTCAGGTACGTATGTGGAGTTTAGCTTCAGCTTCTGGGACTCTACTGGCTGTTGGCTCTTCTGTCTCCAAAGTGGAAGAGGGAGAAACGGCAACTGTCCTTCTGTTCCCTGCCTATCATAGAACAGGGACCATCCCACAGCAGCCTCCTGAAAGGCTCACTCTGGGACACATCTGGTCTGTCCTCTGGCATCTCTGCAAATGGATATGCCATGCGGTCTCAAGCAAACGGAACCTCTCTGTGTGTCTGTTTCATTAGCAATAGAAAGAGGACTAATAACGCAGCCCAAGAAAGCAATGAGAATCAAATGAGATGGTATATATAAAAAGTGCTGCAAAGAGTAAAAGTGCTATGAACGTTTAAGGTATATAATAACAGCAACAGTAATGAGCTTCTTTGCAGCTCTAGACACCTGCTGGTGCGTACATCATCATCAAAACAGCAGTCAGGCTGACTGCCCATGGAATATGCCAACTCCAGATTTCATGTCTGTCCAGTCTCTGGGAAGAGGCAAGGTCCTTAGCCTGCCCTGTTGAACATCATTTGCAGATCACATGTTTCCATGTACAATCTAACAAGCCACCCAAAGTCATAGAGCCACAAATTAAATTGACAAGCGAAACTAACAGATCCATGGAGACAGTCTAAAATATTATGGGCTTCACAGTCTGAAGGCAGAATGGATATTTTAATGGAAAAGATTAAAGTTAGAGGCACCAAACTCCTCCAGTAACTGACAAAGCATCCTGAAGTGATGTGCCAATTACTTTATACAGTTCTCCCGTGGATTCATTTGTCTGAATGCATGTATTTATGCCTGTAATAAGTAAGGAGATGTTTGAATAAAATACTTTTCTAAAAATAAAGTTGGCTAAAATGGATGATTTTCCTCCCCCCTTCTTACTCTTGCAGAAAAATGGAAATGAATGAGCAAATCTGCTCAAACATTATTGACCTGGCAGCCTATTTACAGAATTCTATTTTCAAGTCATCCGTAGGCCTGCCTGGAGAAGGGCATCAGAGAAAGGGCTCAGCTAAGGGGGCAAATTCTTTGGAAAAAAAGCCCTTATGGAGGAAATGCTGAGTTAGATGCATAAGTCCTGAATCCTGTTCCACGTAATGTGGGAATGTGGCGGGCGGCTGTAAGAAGATAAAGGGCAAGTGCACCCTTTGCTTTGACTCCTCTACCACAATCCCCACACTCCTTGCCAAGCCACAATGCCAAAACCACTGCCATTAAGTCCATTTTGACTCAACTCAACGTATTGCCATTGAATCCGAGCTGACACATAGAGCTGATCCTCTAGTGGGTTTTCAGAGGCTATAAACTGCATGGTAGGAGAATGTCCATAATTTTTTTTTTAAAAGTATATCAACTTGGAGAGATGTTCTTCATGTAGTAGAGAGGAGGAACACAGATTGTAGAAGAGAATGTTTAAAGTGCTGTCATTTTGTTAGCATGTTTAAGTATAGAAAGAAAATCTAGAAGAGAAATTTTTCACTTTTTTAATTTAGATTTTTAAATTTTATTCTGGTTTACTTACAAAGTTCATAAAGTTTGTATACATTGTTTTTCCATACCAGATCTTTCCCTTTTCCTTTATCCACCTTTCCCTCCACCCATCAAATTGTGCGACCCTATGACTAAGCCCCCTCCTCCCCTCCTTGGATCCTTGTACTCATTCTACAATAATGGTCTTATACAACGATATTTATGAGACTGAGTTAGTTCACTTAGCATAATGCTCTCTAGTGCTTCCCATGTTAGGTAGTAATTTACAATATCTTTACTCCTGCGTGCTGCATAGTATTTCATTCTGTGAATGTACCATAATATCTCAATCCATTCCATTGTGGTGAGGCGTTTGGGGTGTTTCATGTTCTTGCTATGGTGAATAATGCTGCTATGAATATTGGTGTACAGGTGTCCGCTTCTGGCTCAGTTCTAATTTTCTTGGGTCATATGGAATGCCTATGTTCAGCTTTTTGAGGAAATGCCGGATTGCATTACCGAATGGTTGCACAATTTTACAGTCCCACCAACAGTGTATAAGAGTTCCTATCTCAATCTGGTGTGAAAAACAACGTATTTTGTGAATAAACTAGTATTTTTTAAAAAAGTTCCTATCTCGCCATATCCTCTCCAACATTTATTACTTGCTGCCCTGCTAAACTTTGTCACTGCTACTAGGCAAAGATGGTATCTCATGGTGGTTTTGATTTGCACAGCTCTTACTGCCAGTGATTTTCTACTATTTTTTCATGTATCTGTTGGCCATCCAAAATGTCCTCCTCTGTGAAAAGTCTTTCCAAGTCTTTTGCCATTTTGTAATGGGATTATCAGACTTTTTCTTCTGGAAGCCCTGGAGGATTCTGTAAAATTTCATTAAGAGACCCTTGTCTGAGATGGTATTGCCGAATGTTTGTTCCTAGTCATTAGGTTTTCTTTTCACACTGTTGGAAAAAGTGTTTGATGAGCAGAGATTTAAACTTTAGAAGATCCCATACATCAATTTTATCCACTTCAGACTGCATTTCTGGCTGCATATGGCAGTCCCTTTATACTGCAGAATAAGCCTTCTAAACGTGGCCCCAGTTTGTTTCTTATGAACTTCATGGTTTTGGGCTTTATTCCCAGGTCTCTGATCCACTTTGAGTTGATTTTTGTGCATGGTGTGAGATGTAGATCCTGCTTCAGCTTTCTGCAGGTAACAGTCCAGTTTTGCCAACACCATTTGCTGAAGAGGTTATCATTTCCCATTTGATAGCTTTGATTTCCTTGTTGAGTATCAGTTGGACATAGATAGATGGATCCATTTCTGGGTTCTCAATTCTGTTCCATTGGTCAAGAACTATCTGATCCTAGCAACTGATGCAGAAAGAAAAGGCATTTGACAAAATCCAGCATCCGTTCCTGATTAAGACAGCAAAACAGGAATAGAAGCACATTTTGAATATATGCAAAACCAAGAGCCAGTATCATCCTCAATGGAGAAAGACTAAAAGTATTTTCTTTGTGAACAGGGACCACACAAGGATGTCTACTGTCACCACTTCAATTCAATACTGTATTAGAAGTACTTGTTAGGACAATGCGACAAGAGAAGGAAATAAATAGAAGGTATCCCAATCAGCAAAGAGATGGTTAAACTGTCGTTATATGCAGATGATATGAAAGTGTACACAGAAAACATCAAGGACTCAATAAAAAAAAACCCCAAACTGTTAGAGCTATTGATCAGTTTTGTAGAGTGGCAAGATAAAAGATTAATATCCAAGACTCAGTGGGATTCCTCTACAGTAACAAAGAACTCAGAGAAGGAAACCAAGAAAGCAATACCATTTACAACAGCCAACCACAAATTGAGATGGATACTTGGGAGTGAACCTAACTAGAGATACAAAAGACCCATACAAAGAAAACGACAACATTTTTGCAAGGCACAATCAAAGATCTAAATAAATGGAAAAAAGTTTCCTGTTCATGGACAGAAGACTCAATATTGTGAAAATTACAATCCTACCAAAAGCAATCTACATGTTCAGTGGAATCCCAATACAGATACCAAATTCATTTTTCAAGATCAAAAGGGAAATTGTCATTATTTATTTGGAGAGACCAGAGACCCCAAATAATCAAAACACTTCTGAAATATAAAACTGATGTGGAAGGCATAGAACTGACCACAAAATCTACTACACAGGAGTAGTAACTAAAAACGTATTGGTACAATGACAGGCACAGAGAATGCCCATCATTGATCCTGTGGAGCTGTTGGTGGATTCAAACCAGGAGAGAAGTGTGGCATTTGGGTTAGCTGTGCAATTCCCTACAGATTATGCCACCAGAGCCTCCATTCCTACACACAACAGTCTATAAGGAGAACTGCTAACAGGCTTTCCAAGGATGTACATTTTTATGGAAGCAGACAGTCTCATCTACCTTCTGCAGAATGGCTGGTGATTTGAACTGCTGACCTTGTGTTTAGCAGCTGAATGC